GTGTTTTGTATTTTTGTGTGTGCAAGTGTATATACACAAATCTTTATATGCTAACCATGGAATCTCGATAGTTAAACTTTCGAGTTATATATTAAGAATTTTATTTGTCTATATTAATACAATCATATACACACTGTCATGTACAGATTTATAGCTATGTTAATCATTTCACACTCGGCCACAACTAATCACTCAAAATCTTCTCAAATTGTGAACATACTCAGTAGCGGTAAATTCATATCGTCGGTGTCTTCCCATAGCCTCTTTTGTTAGGTACTGTTTCTCTCTCGTTTCTTTCGTGCACGATATGTGTGAGCCGAGCATGTGCATATGTACCAGTGAGTGTGCATGCACTAATAATGTTCCCTGTAGATACGTCAACAGTCAGACCTTTTGGACCCGATACTATTTAACTACATGTATGAGCGAACAAAAACGCTTGTATGCTAATACATACAGTACTTGCGCTTTGTACTGTATCTTTGAAATTATACCTTTACATACCCCGGGAGTGATTGATTATATCGCAATCATATGTATATGCTACCACCTTACTTACGTGTTACAGCTTACGTGTAGGTTCAACGGTTACTTGATCTGGTCCTATATATTTGATATGGGTGCGGTAGTTGGGTTATTAGGTGAAGTATTTTACCAATAGTCCCATATATAGCCCTTTTTTATGCCACAATAGATTATATCAAAACTTTTTCGTTTACGTTTAACTACCTCAACGTAATGGGGGTTACACCCAAAAGGCCCAAAGGCCTAAGCCTAATGTCCTAAACTGAAAACTGTAAATTCAACAGACTCTGGAATCTGGATGCTGCAGATGGAGAGCAGAGTCCCAACCAATTATAACCGAATATTCCAGAACCATGAAGATTTGGCGGGTTTGTTTTCTTGTGTAATTACAAAAACTTAAAATGTGTTGAATCTTATGATAGCCCTAAATTGAAACAGGCTATGGGTAGTCGTGTGTTGAACACATGTATTTAAAGCGTAGTATAGGCTGTATAGCCCAGCCTCTCTGATTCGGTTCCGCAGCATGTATAGTAAACGTTGAAGTTGGATCTTCGTTTATTATCTGGGCTTTTGTTTTGATGGTTGCAACTTGCACGTGTGGATCGCAACTCAAAGCTCTCAATATGTAATAGTCAATACGATACAAACCCACTGTGGGATAAATAGGCACAACCGACTTCGGGTTGTATTAGAGGTGACTTCTAATTGCGCTGTGGGCCATGTACCGACGATATCATATATACATGTACTTGTATAAGTGCACGTGCATACTAGAAGTACATAACAATGTAGTAAAGGAAGTAAACCGATATTTGACCTATTTGAACGAACTCTTATATATCCGTTTATTATGGCCACAACACTATACCTGGGATTTGGAGGTGACAAGAGACTACCAGGCTGCCTACCCGACTGAGAGACTCTGTACTTCATCGATCTGATTGATGAAACGTCGTTCCCGGATGACATTGATAGCTATATAGACGTGCTCAGGCCTTATATCAGACACATGTACAAAATATCTATTACCTGGGACCCCAATTGGTCGGTGGATTTCGGACGGTTGGAGATGTTTTCTGGGACTATTGTCGGGTTTAACAGCGACTATAATCTCCAATTCCCTTTCGAAATTAAGTACGTAACCACTTTACTGATAAAGAACACACCGATACCTGCCAACCATCAACGATTACTCAACGTTATGGATAAAAGAACACCGAAATGGCGGTTTTTATCGAATTGCGACGCTATTTTGCGGTATAAAAGCTTTGTTGACCTAAGGTTCTGCTCTTGTCTCTCATTGAGGATGGGCAGGCAAAGGCTTGTATACTTGGAGATGATCAAGGATGTTGGGGCCGATTCTATTAAATGTGCTTGTGCGTGGACGGTGCTCTTACTACCCGAGAAGAACTTTTACATGCACTGGCAGATGCCAGTTATAGAGATACGATTGAAAAGCAGCCCTGTAAATAGCTGCTGTAGATGCCGCCCGCCCCACACCCCCCCCCCCTATGAGAAAGGTATCCCGGCTGAAGTCGCGATAATACTGAATGAATGCGACCTACACAGAGAGCAAATAATCTTTCGAAATATATTTTCATATGGTCCGATATAAACCTGGCGATGTAGGAAACACATCGTAAACGCTTCACTTTCAGAAGTGATGACATATGTATATATATATGTATATAAATATATATATA